TTCCCTATAGATTGATTCCAGAAAATTGATTGCAGAATCTTAGAGAGGCGGATCTAATAAGAATATTTACTTATACAAATATTTTCTTCGGATGTTATCAATAATTATAGCATTAATTTCCTTTAATATGAGCAATTATTTTAATACCATACCCTGCATATTTCAGGTATCACGCCACGGTTATCGACCAGTCAAGATGTTAATTGTTCCATGCATATAAAATTAATTTTTATTTCTTTTGAGAATTTTTTTTTTTTTTTTTTTTTTTTTTGCGGGGGGGGGGGGGGGCTTCCAGCCTATTTTTACAACTTTGATACCTGTGCCTAGTAAATTTTATGTACTTTGTAAATAAATATTTTTTTTTTTTTTGTCAGGAACTATTCTTTTTCAGGGCATAGGAGGCTACTTCCTGGGGTGCACTTGAGATGTTTATATATAACACATTGAAAACGGGTGGATCAGCCCATTCCACCCGTATATATCATAAGACATACAAATGTATATTTATGGGGAAAAAAACCTGTGCTTTTCATTGACACCACTTGCGTGATCAATGAAATGGGTGAAATTAATAATATTGTGACGTACTTATACTTTCTAACATAAAATTAAGGATTACAAATTAATTCCAATATGTATTTTAATTTCCTTTTTTATTTTACTTTGTTTATTGTTTACTCGTATATTTTCTATAATTATACTAGCATGTTTCATTTTAAATTTATCATTATTATTGAGCATGTAGGATATTGAAATCATGCCCCCAGCCCCCCCCCCCCCCCCCCCGAAAAAAAAATTAAAGACCTGGCTCATATTGTACTCTGAACATAAAGCTTTAAATTCAAATCTGTAAAAGTTTTGGATCCTTCCCTAATCACTGCTGACATCGTTTGTCTCGGTATCACTGTCATGGGTAATATAAAGATTAGCGTTAATTGCGCTTTGATTGAATTCAGTCTTAATTTAAATCGGAGAAAATCCACAGAATTTTTTGTCGTGGATGTTATTAATCAAGCGCGGGTTGAGTCAGTGGTAGTGTGTATGTACGGCACAGGTACAGTCGCAGATGGTGTATATCAGGCACAGGTATACAGTCATAGATATACAAAATTTAGGCATAGTCAAGTTTACATATATTTTCCGCGATATATTCACTAAGCCAGTTATCGTTACCGTTTTGGCGATTACAGCCTTCCATAAAGTAGATTAATTATTAACACATTTCGTATGTTTCATTAAAAAAAACAATCCATTCTTAATTAACAACATATAGTTTAATATGTTGAACAATCCGGAAAATCTTGCTCTGACATTCCGTTTTTGATATTAGTAAGCAGGTACAGTCATGGATGTCCGGTACCAGCACTGCCGAGTACAGTTGCGGATGTTAGCTGATAGACCCCACTCGTATAAGGATTAATTTTTTCAAGATCCGAAACTAAGCGATCATTCTAAATAAACTAGATTTTCTGGAAGCTGATTTACACTGGAATTTGTTACCTGCATTTAAACAAATATAGTTTGCTGAAAAAATAATCGTATTACTGATGCAAAATAATGATGTGTTTAATTCCTTCAGTTTTCTGGCATGCACATGTTTATTCTTTGCGATTCTTTGTACGGGCATGTCCGTGTAACATTTTTTCTGCGTTTCTAAACTACTGGATCAGTCCATTTGCCTTCTACAAAAGGGGTGACACAATCATTTCGCGCCAAATGTCACATCTTCGCGCCTTTTTCTTGGATTGTTCTATTGAATGGGTGTGATAACTTCTATGGAAATAAATAACGTTTATTCTTTTAACCTGATTCTTAAGCTTCAGATTTTTTATTAACAGTAAATTTAATCTCATTTTTAAAAGAACACATTGTATATGGGCAGGCAACACTAAAGCAATGGATTTGCTGATTATTCTTACTATTTATCCCATAAGTGAACTAGTTCCAATCATAAGCAAACTCCCTCGACCTAGTAAATGGGACATCCCTTCTTCATTCAGTTTGTTTCCCACCTTTACTTTCAATATTACATTTATTAACAATGTACGTTACAAGGTTAGGTTTTTAAATAAGCTTAGAAAGTCAGCCAGTAGCATATTATTTCATGCTTTGTGATGAACAAGGATAGTGACAATAGTAGGTCAGTACCCATAAAGGAATGGGCTTAACTCCCGTAAGGTTCTAAGCAAAGAATCGGCAAAATGAAGAATACATCATGATCTGTACTAGTTTTCATTTCATATAAAAGCACGTTATTATAATTATGAGAAAGGTCCTGAAATCGATTGAAAAGAAAAACTAAATAATTTTAAAACTGCACATAAAGATTTATTTTAAAATAATTTATAATACATGCATATGGTAAGACCATCAGCGCGTGAGTTTCGTCCGGGGGGAGGGGGGGGGGTGTTATTAGTATCTTGTTTTTCTCTAGCTATAAAGTGTACAGTCCATTTACTTTGAGTTCTAGAGCAGCATTGAAGCATTTTTGTCTCAAACACTTCAAGAAAAGGCAGTTAAAACTGTTCATAATTTACTTCGACGTCGAGAACGACGGAAAACAGACCAGTCTATAAAAAGAGGCCGTCTCATCAATCTGTCACTGACCAGAGAAGTGCATCCTCTAGTAAGAGAGTACGTGTAATATGAATTTCTTTAGAATCATCTAACTATTTTCCCCAAAATTATAATCTACTCTATCGCACTTAGGGCTTCATCCCAACGTAACTTGTCAGCCCGTGGGCTAACTAATAAATGATTGAATAGTGGCATGTCTTAGATATTCGTTAATCTGTAGTATTTGGTTATGACATTTGAGAAAGTCAATTGTACATCTTGTGTCCAAATCTCGCAACTATGTCGCTCCTTGATGACGGAAACGTTTAGCACCTCTCTTGCATATACGTTCCATAGATATTGATTGATTAGTCTGGCAAGCTTTTTGAAAAGCTATTACTTGTAATTCTTTTAATTTGCTTGTTTTTTCAGGGTTTTTTTTTTTTTTTTAGTCAAAAACAGAAATAACTGTATAATTTGCTAGCTGTTTTGAAACATAAAAAGTACCAAGGAACTCTCAAAAAAAGTTTCACAATTTGACGGTATGCGAAAATTGCGTCTTTGTTGGTCAAATATAATCTAAGCCTATATTTTTCGTAAATCCATATCGAGAAGTAAAATATGAAAAATATTGTATTAAAAAGCAGTTTTCAGATAAGTGTTAATTAAATGAAAAAAAAAATGTAATATCTCATGGTCACATTAAAGCGTAAACTGAATTAATTGTCATGAAACCCTATAATCTTTCATGCTTTCCATGTTTGAATTATATAATTTTTTGTTGAGAATATATTGTTCTTTAAGAGAAATATGAATTTTCAGTCGTCAATAAATGCAAAATAAATAAATAAATGAAAATAAAACATTCTATCGATCTCTCTCTCTCTCTCTCTCTCTCTCTCTCTCTCTCTCTCTCTCTCTCTCTCTATCTATATCTATCTGTCTAGTCTATGGAATTCAAAATTTCCATTTTTTTTAAGAGCCAAATAATCATCTGTTTTGTGAATTACGTTACGGTAATTTACGTTGCATTCGTTTTGTGTTACACTGTATCTAGGGCAAAATTTTTCTGTCAGCGATTTTAAATAATATATGTTATCCAAATATTTTATTTTTTCATCTCATCAAAATTTGACATACAGAAAACTTCCGAAAATGTTCTCTTGATTTTTAGATATGAAATATAATGGACATTTTTAAATGGCCATTGGCACAGCTTAACTGAATCTGAGCGGTAAAACTGTTCATTTCTTTGTATTATCTTTACTTACGACCTAATTTTCTTTTGCTGGTACTAATTCAAGTCCTGAACCACGGATAAAGTGTAAATGTTTACCACATGAACACAACCCTTGACTGGGATTTAATTTACGTGCGTAATTTGGATGGTTCCTAAGAATGGAACTAGAATGATCTCCCAAAGCTACCAAATCTAGTATATTTTACAAATTGTGTGTGGCATACCCACGCCAAACCTTATACGTACATATACCAACAATACAACATTAAAAACGATTTTTAAACATTTTAAAGGTGAAAATTTGTAACTTTCGTGTTTTGTAACATCTTTTAAGATTTGCATAAAAGCATCTCAAACAATTAGAGGCTTTTTTCAAAAATCACCCTGATTTTTTTTTTTTTTTCTTTTTTTTTTCTTTTTTTCTTTTTTTTTTTTTTTACAATGGGATCAATCCGTTGAATATAAGCAGTTCGGTAAATGTTTAAATATATACTCTTTGGATTCAAGTCTTGATCTTCCGCGTAAATATTTTCACAAGGAAATGTATTATGTTGTTAATGTATACTAATATCGTTTATACATGTTAATATCCGGTACACGTAAAATGCAAAAGGACAACAAAACGGAGACATATGAGAAGTTTTAGCCGAGTAAAAGCTTTTTGTTTGCTTTCCTAACACGATACATTTAGTAAGCTATTTAATGTTCTTCTTAAGAAATAATAATTCTGATCCTATCAATACACACCAACAATAGTAGTGAATTGCGAAATCATTTAAGCACAGATTTCACTACAATAGGCATCGGTACAAAGGTTTTATTAATATTTTCAGCTCTTCTGAACCATTAGAAGTAAGTGGAGTGAGTGATCTTTGAATAAATATTAAAATTTCAATATCAATAATTTCTTTAGATATATCTTCTTGATGATATTGGGAAAAAAGTTCTTTTGTTTCGGTAAAATAAATAAATTAGAAATCATCAATTTCAGACCAATACCTTCAGACCAATACCAATCAAACGACAGGTACTTCCTCATGCCCCATGCAAGTCGAACAAACAAAGGCATATACAAGTAGAATCTTTTGCACACGCCGAATGTTTCCTCATTATTCAGAGAAAAGTAACGACAGATTTTATCAGGTCTAAAAATTCTGGTCTGTTTATTCAGTTTTTGAATTTAAAGCTACGCCTAAATTTATAGGACTATCTCTCTGATGTCAATTTCAGGTACAACATCAAATGTCACATAAATGATTGTTGATAGACTAGTGGAGAACTGTTACAGTGTTTTCATTGCAATCGATGACAATTACCAGTGAATTGGACGTTAACTGTCCTCAATAATACCTGTGATTTAACTCCAGCAGAATATTCAAGCTTTTCTTTATAATGCAGGATTCTTGAAGCGTAACACAGGGCAATCTCACTGGATTATATGACACCGTGCAGATGAACTCTTTAGCAGTGACAAGCGATAATGAACAAAATTCCAGTTTTCATCGTTTTACTGATCGGGACTGTAGGTTCTACTTACCACGATGATGTGTATCAGCTATCCAAAAAACTACTTGATGGCTACAACAATATGATCAGAGGGAGCGAGAATTTGTCGCGGAGAACTTATATCGCATTTATGTTTAATATCATAAAGATTGCTGAATACGACGAAGTGAACGGAAAACTCGCCGTAGTCGGCTTCTTCTTCTTGCAGTGGGAGGATTATCGAATGAAATGGAACCCAGATCACCACAATGGCACTAACAATGTTATGTTTGAGACTAAAGACGTCTGGGTACCAAATATTATTCTCACCACTTCTCATAGCGACTTCCGGAAACTCGGTACCGACGATGTACCCGTTAGGTACGATTCCCAAGGGAAATCCTACTGGTACCCGGCGGATGTGTTCTCGTCTTCTTGTACGCCAAACATTTACTATTATCCATATGACACTCAAATCTGCAGCATTTATTTCAGTTCGTGGGGATACGGTATACAAGAAGTGGGATTTTACTCCATTCGTGACGATGTCAACACTTACGTGTATGACGAACATGGATTATGGAACCTTACCGACACTTCCGCATTTGTTCATGAAGACAGTACAAATCAGATTAACGCTATGGTTATCCAACTGACATTGACCAGAATGCCAACGTTTTATCTCATCAATATGATTCTCCCAATCATTGTCATTGGTTTATTAAACATTCTTGTTTTTCTCCTGCCCGCGGAATCTGGTGAAAGAGTTGGTTACTCTATTACAGTGCTTCTCGCCATAGCAGTGTTTCAGACAATAGCTTCTGACAAACTGCCACATGTCTCCCGTCCCCAGATTTCTCTACTGTGCATTAAACTGCTTATAGACCTCGTTCTGAGCGTTCTAGTGACTACATTAACAATTGTTTCCCTGTATTTTTACGACATGCCAGACTCGAGAAAAGTACCTGTATATCTTCAAGCCATCTGTGGCCTGATTTTATGCAAGAAATGTTCTCCGAACAAAAGCGAAGATAAATATGATAACGAAGAAACGTACAAGGTCTATAAAATTGTAAATGGTAAGCAAATGACGACTTCGATTTCTCTGAGTGACGTCAGAAAGGCAGAGAAAACTGATGTCATCAATTGGACAGATGTTGGAAGATGTAGCGACATTGTTTTTGCTACTTTCTCGTTGCTAGCGTTTATTGCCTCAAATGTAGCATTTGTTGTACTTGTGATAGTAAAATAGTAAATTGTTGCTGTAAATCATTTTATGCCTTCAATAACAAATTTCATTCGATATGCAGCGACATCTTTCGGGAAAATTACAAATCTTGATTGCTCAACCAATCACATTAAGCCTATGGAACGCCGGGACTGTCTTATATGAGGATAAAATATTATATGCAGTGTTCTCTTCATTATAATTATGTGGTACTATTTTAATTATATGAAATAGTTTTTACAGTATATCGTGTGCAACTTCCATTATATACAGTACTTCTTTCATTATATGATGTAGATATGTCATTATATTATGTACATAATACTGTGTCTACATCATAACGAAATGCAAAATCTACCGCACGGAATGCTAACAGGACCGGACATAATATTTAACGATCAGCATCATCATAATAACAGAAATACAACATATAATGATGAATATACTGTATATAATGTGAGAAGTACATAATATATTGTTGTGTTCACTGCATATAATGTTAGATCTACCGCATATAATGTAAAAATCACTTCATATAATGATAAAACCACTTCATATAATGATAGATGTACATAATATAATATGTCTACATCATATAATGAAAGAAGTACTGTATATAATGGAAGTTGCACACGATATAATGTAAAAACTATTTCATATAATTAAAATAGTACCACATATAATGAAGAGAACAATACATATAATGTTTAATCTTCATATAAGACAGTCCCGGCGTTCCATACTTTCGGTGATAAACAAAGCGTAACATGTGCAGTTTGGGTGTCAACTTATTCATTTCTGTTTACATTGTCTTTACTTTGCTTCTCAATGAGATATCGAATGAAATTTGTCAGGGGTCCAACGGCAACGTGTTGACTCAGGACTTCTGACGTTGTGAGGATGAAGTTTATCATGACAACATAATTCTGACCATTGGTCTCGAGCATTTGAGCCTAAGAAACTGAGGGGATAAGCCGAGCCATATGCCTACATAACGATCGATAAAAAATCAAAAAATTCAATTTACAAAAATTTCACTTTTTGTTGAATTAATATGGAAGGGAATTACAGCCAAAAGTCTATTTATCTTGCTTTTATTCTTATTCTGCCTACTTTTTTATTCTTTGTTATTATTGTAACTATATGTCACTTTATTGTTTTCATATTCGTCTTTATTACATTTCACTTTGAACTTTTTTCATTCTTCATTTTGTCCTTACTTCTATGTTGCTTTATTCTTGTAAATTCGTTCTTCTTTCTTTTAAATTGATACAGTTTCTTTAATAAATAATTATGATCATCTCTATTACAAATGTAAATTTAGTCACGCAAACCATGAAGCGCATTCAACGAAGACGAATACAAGTAGTGCGAATTTAATGCGGCATTATAACGCTAGGTGGCAGGGTGTTTGCTGCGAGTGTTGGTAAAATTAGGTACACAAACCCGGGCAGTGGTTATAAGAAATTTTTCAAATTTCTGCCTTAATACTTTATCAATCAAACCCAAATTTTCAAATATGTGTGTTATAGGATCAGACATGTACCTGGTGTCGTTCCCCCTGAAGGCTGCCTAGATGGTAAGACTTCCCCCGGAAGACTAGCTATATAGTGAGACTTCTCCAGGGGAAAGTCTCACTACATAGTCAGTCTTCCCCCTTCATAGCGAAACTTCCCCCTTTAATTTAGTTTTCGAATATTTTTTTATTGTAAAACAATGTTTTTATACTAACGTTTTCAGTGTTTGGATAAAAGTTATCCGTCCTATATGAATGAATAAATAAATATATGAATAAAAAATTAAAACATTTTAATAGTGATTTTTATAATTAAAACTTCTTAACCATGCAGGTAAACATAGGTAAACTGCACGTTTCTACGGGTAATGACCTCTTTACTGTTAAACTAATTACGTTTTTTTTCCTTTTGATAAGAATCGTCTCGAAACAATACTATAATCTGCTGTGCACGATAAATTTTTAATGCGCACTTTTATATTGATTCATTTGAAACTATTCATCTTTTTTTTATATATAAGATCATTACCTAAATATGCAATATATACATCGTCGATGTAAATAAAATCGAAACTGACCAAACCCGGAAGGGGAAGTCCCACTATGGTTGTTTAGGGCGGAAGGCTTACTATATAGTCATTGCCCCCCCCCCCTCACCATATAGCCAGATTTCCGGGGGGAAGACTCACTATGGGGTAAGTCTCACTATATGACACCGGTAGTGGGGGGGGGGGGCTGGCCACCAACCATTTTTCTAGCCATAACTTTTTACTACTGAAAATGTTCAATGAACTGTTTGACCCCCTCCCACTTTTTGTTGTAGTTTAGTCAAATAAGGGCCATGTACGTAGTGACGTATGAGTAAAATTTGGTACTGAAAGAAGTTGGACCCCCCTCCCCCCCCCCCCAATAGAATTTTCGAGTTTGAAGAATTTTTTTTTTTGTTTTTTTTTGTTTGTTTGTTTTGTTTTTGGTTTGTTTGTTTGTTTGTTTTTTTTTTTTTTTTGCTTGTCAAGATTTTAGGTAAGTTATTTTTTTTTCTCTGGCTGGCCCTTTCAAAAACAATGCTACGTCTCTATGTTTTATCTGTATTCGCTGTAAAAATTGCCAATATTTATATTCATGTATTTAAATTTTGAAAATCTTAATATTTTAGATTATTTTTGGCGATTTTTGATTTCCAATTTGCTAAGATGTGTAGGCAATATCAAGCCGACATTTTACGTATTTTTTGCCAATCGACACATTGACAAAATAATTTTTTGAGTTATTCTGATGTCAAACACTGTGTGCTTACTAGAGATATTTATTTCTTTATTGAAAATTGCTATTTCTATACCAAAAATTAATATATATTTTCATAAAAAGCGGGGGAAATTTCTAGTATGCCCCGGTCTAGCCTGGTTCCGGTCACGCCTACCCATGACGTTCCGCACTACTTTGCAGAGCATTATGGGTTGGCCGAAACCAGACTAGCCCCGCGGTCCCCAGAATCAAACGACTGCGCATTAACAGTTATTATCCTGAAATAAAGAAATGTCAGTTCAGTGGAAGAATATATAGGGGTCCTGAAAAACAACTCAATTTATAAGGGTATACTAGTAATTATCAAAATATTTAATAATTTTTTATATCAATAAAACAAAAATTCAATCATCCAACAAATAACTTGAATAGAGTTACTTATTTTTTTCAGGTGACAGAAAATACACAATTATTTTGGAGTTTTCATCATTGGTCCGGTTTTAATGACCCAAATTTTCTTAAAACGTGTCATTTAAAGCAAAAAAAAAGCACATTTGAAAGAAGAAATGCTCATAAATAGTTAAAATATAATGTTTAGCATCGGAATAATTTATAAATTTATTAGCCTTTTGTCAAAAAAACCCACTAAAAATGTCAGCTTAATACTGTCTTCCAAAAACTTGGAAAATCAAATAATTTTCTTCGAGAAAATATTGAGCATTTCGGAGCGATTTTACCGCGTATACAAATAAACTTATAACTAACATAACTTGAAAATTTGGGTTCGATTGATAAAGTTTTAAGGCAGAAAATTGAAAAATCTCCAATAACCTCGGCCCGGGTTTGTGTACCTAATTTTACCAACACTCGCAGCGAACACCCTGCCACCTAGCGTTATAATGCCGCATTAAATTCACACTACTTGTATTCGTCTTCGTTGAATGCGCTTCATGGTTTGCGTGACTGAATTTACATTTGTAATAGAGATGATCATAATTATTTATTAAAGAAACTGTATCAATTTAAAAGAAAGAAGAACGAATTTACAAGAATAAAGCAACATAGAAGTAAGGACAAAATGAAGAATGAAAAAAGTTCAAAGTGAAATGTAATAAAGACGTATATGAAAACAATAAAGTGACATATAGTTACAATAATAACAAAGAATAAAGAAGTAGGCAGAATAAGAATAAAAGCAAGATAAATAGACTTTTGGCGGTAATTCCCTTCCATAAATTAATGTAATGTTTATTACCATTTGCATACATCATGTACATATTTGACAAAACCTGAATACTGTAACAGCGAAAATGATTCTGATTAACACAAAAAATGGCATCACGCTCAATTTTCACAGAAACTGACAGAAATTGGATGATATAAATACATTTTTTAAATAGAGTGGGTCATCGCACCATTTTTTTTGAGAACGATTAATGAAAGGCAATGAGATGTTGCATTTTACACTTGCATAAATTTGGTATGAAGACCCACTCTACATAAAAAATTAAGTTAACTAACTTAAATTTTCACCGTGTTCTTAAAAATTCTAAGTCCAAAAACGCTTGCTAAATATAAAGAACTGTATGCTATTTAAAAAGACATATAAGTGTGACTCCGTGGTCTAGTGGTTTGCGAGGAGCTCTTTAATTAAAGGGACGTTTATTGAGGAAAGTGTTCGAGTCATGCTCTGATTTTTTTATTTTTTTTTTATTTTTATTTTTTTTTTTGGTTTTAATTTTGTTTTACTTTATAAAAAATGTCTATAGGAATAACATATTTTTCACTGGAAATAAAATATATACATGTAGTAATGAACTTATTTACAGTAAATTATTTAAAATGCCGGTTAAAAATTATAATAGATACTTGAATACTTTTATTCCCATATATACATACAATATTATTTTAGAGATATTGGAAGGAATTCCAAGATACTGCAATCAGTCTACATGACCCGCCGTGAAATACCGATCCCGATGTATTTTCATAGTATTTAAATTACAATTAAATTTATAAATTCAATACGCTTAAATTTTCATAGTAATTAATTAAGTTTGTGTGGTAACTGAATATCATACAGTTTCAAAGTACAGTATCATGAGCTCATGAACATGTATATAGCTCATATATAAATACTAATTATCAAAAACCATGCTTTTCAAAATTCAAACCAAGTGGATTGTAACGCTGGTATTTTTCACAATGTTTTATGACAAACAGTGCACATACTACATAGCATAGACTAACCTCTTAAATGTCCAAAATATGCTGCATATT